TAATTTAGTTCTTAAAATCAAAACCCCCCTCTTTTATTGCTTTTATATTTCAATTAATACGAGAAAATTCACGATTCACACACTCCTCGTGGGATCGACCCTTACTCGCCGCTACTACTAGCTAGTAGAGGTTAGTCGAGGAAAATATAAATTTTAATTTTGCCGCGTTGCGACGCGCGGTCAGTAAGCAAAATTATATTTTTTTTTAACTTAAAAAAGAATCCTAGAAAATATGTTTGAATTAGTTATCAAACTTTTATTACAACGTTGATAAATTATTTATAGTATTTGTATAATTTTTCAAAAACTATTTTATAAATATTTTCAAAATTTTCGGATTGAATTTAGTAAGACAAAGTACTGGTATGATTTTACAAGAAATATTTGATAAATATTGTTGTTCGATTGAATTTGTTATCTGATATGCATGTCTAATTTTTTTATTATTATATTATAAGTCTTTAGTGTTTATCTTTTGGTGTTAATAAAAAATCAATTATACATATTAATTTTTGACCTATATAAAAATAAGAATAAATATGATAATTATTGTTTTAAAAATTATATTATTAGTTGACTTTAATTCATGTTTACGAATACTGACAAGCAGTCGTGGATCATTTTCATATTCAAATTATATTTTTACTAAAATTTAAAAATAAATCATTAAGAAATTATAGGATATACACAACACAAAACAAAGACAAAAATATAAAAAATTGAAAAATAAGCAAATAAATAATTGTAGGAATATACTGAACAAAAAACAAGGCAAAATATAGTGGAAAAGAAAAATACAAGTTTATGTTATAAAATGCGAGGAATATAAAGAACACAATGTAAAAACCGAATACAAATTATAAGATACTTTCTTTCTTTCTTCCGTGCAAACTTTCACAATACACATTGGTCCCTTTTATAGGTAAATTTTAAGCACTCAATCATACACTAGCACATACTTCAATGCACATTTCAATATAATAATGTACAAGATAATAATATTATTATTATTAGTGGTATATTCCACATATTTATAAGTGGTAATGGGCATTTATAGCACTTAACTAAAAGGAAACATGAAATATAACCATCTTTTTTAAAAAAATGATATATAGCCATTTTGGGTTGCAAAAAGACTAAATTGCCCTTTTTTCATCTTTTTCAATTTCTTTGGCCGTCAAATTTTTCAGAGGTCGCTCTTTCAATTTTTTTATCTCTCTCTCTCTCTCTCTGCTAAAGCTTCGGCGATTCATTTGCAGACCTCCGGATTTGTATTGTCCTCTTTCCCTGACATTCCGACGACACGACTGCTCTTCTCCTCCACAGAGCCGCAGCTCTTTTCTCCGGCGAAACAGGGTTCGTTTTTTGTTTTCTTTTTTGTGTTGCGATTTTTAGGGTTTTTTTTTACTTGAATTGCCGATTTCTCCTGCGAAACAAGGTGAAAGTTTTTTTTTCTTTTTTGTTTTCTTTTCGGCAGAGGCTCGGGCGGGGAATCTCCGCACACGGCGTCCACTCTGTGTCCGTTGGGCCAACAAGGCCGATCCGCTTTGTGTACGCGGACGAGAAGGGAAGGTTCCACATGGATCCAGAGGCGGTGGCGCTGTTTCAGTTGGTGAAGCAGCCCGTGGGCATGGTATCTGTTTGCGGCCGCGCTCGTCAGGGCAAGAGTTTCATATTGAATCAGGTAAATTTGGGAAAAGGGACTGGTTAACGAGTTTATTCTGTTTGTAATTGCTACATTAGGGTTTTTGTACCATAAATATATTTGGGCGCGGACAAGTTTCTGATTCTTATTTTTCATGTTCTCCATGTAATCCGCATACTTTGCTTGTGATTTAGGTTTTTTGGTTTTGCTATATTTTGTGAAATTAAATCAGGGATTTTGGCGTTATGTGTTGTGAGTGATGAACTATGTTCTTATTTTGGACTGTACCAAACTCAAGACAATTTGCAAGGTAGGGAACTCAATTGGCTTTCTTTTTTGGTGGTGGGGGTAAGGGCTAGAGGTGAGGGGAATTGATCTTTTTGGGTTAAAGAAGAGTATGGAAACTTTTTTTTAAGTAAAAGTCAAAAACTTGCTACTTGGTTTGTAGGCTGAGTCAAAAACTTGCTACTTGAGCAACCTATATGAATAAGCGAAGTACCAGGTAAGTAAGATTAGCATGTCACAAGTGAGTCGTATTTTTTGCCCCTTAGTGAATGGGAGGTAATAGTGGCTTCTTTAAGTTGACACTCACACTCTCTTTAGTATGCTTAGAGAGTTTAGTTGCTAATTAGGGTTACAACTAGTGGCAGCAGGTGCACTTTTCTATGCCTCTTGAGTGTGTTGAGGTTGTTTATGTAGTGAATGCCTATCGCATATGGTTGGTCTTGAAGATATTATGAGTTGTAATAGCTGAAGCTGGTTAATATATGTTCATCTGGATGTTCCACTGGAGCAATCTTTTTGAGGGATGAGGCCTATCTTCTAAATTAATTTTGTTAATGGTTAAGGAACTATGTTTTCCCTGATTGTGTTGTTAGTAGGCTGTTTCAAAAAATGATCTTATTGTTCAAGCAGTTGAAAGTACTAGTGTCATTTGCATGAAAGAAGACATTTAACGCGAGTAAATTATATAAATGTCAATTGTGGCTGTTTCAATAAATGTCAATTGTACTAGTATCTTATTCTTCTTGGATGAACTAATCTATAATCTTACTGTATTTTTAATATTTATTTTTGCATTAATCAAGCTTATGATTTCATCTGACGATAATGATTGTATATAAGTGTACAATGTTTTATTAAATTGGAGAGAGATAGGGAGGGAGCTGATTACTGTTTGTTAGAAGTCATATGTTGGCAAGAATAATAATTTGGACTTTTATAAGGCTTGGATTTATTTGAAGTTTGATGAGCTAAAAGAATGGGAGGATATCAATATATAATATCTTATGCTGGGTTCTGGGATCTTAATTGGTGCTTCATCTTGGGGACATCGACTGATGTTTTATTTGTCGTATGCTATTATTTTCTTACCCTTCTATTTCTTATTACGATCTTATATTAGTTACGGTGTAGTGTATAAGAGTGTCGTCAATAGATGAGCACAAGAGATTTATTTTGTGATAGCATTGGCTCTTGGGCAATTTATTCTTATTGGGGCACAGAACCAAGAGAAGTTTTATACTTCTTGTTCATCCCTATTATGATATCGTCAATAAAATTACGTAGTTCTTGTTCTTGATTCTTTACTCCTAACAATTGTATAAGAGTTGTTCAAATTCTTTGACGGTACACCTTTAGATGGTCACTTTTTGTTTATTAATTAGTGAAATGACAAACGAATCATGGATAAATTCCGATGTACTCTGCATAATTTTCATTGAAAAATATGCTTTCTTTCGTCTTTTATACTCGAGATAGAAGTTAATATAACTGGGACAAGTTATTAATTGATTTATTTTATCTGAGGCTGATGATAACGTCATTTACTTATTCATCTTTATATTTTTATCTTGCTCAAAATTCTTATCTTGTTAATGAACGCAGGAAACAAAAAGACGACCTCTGGCAACAGGTTGACAGGGAAAACAATTCTTGCTGCTGCTGCCACAGATTTTGCAGGTTGTCACCATGATTCTATACTCTCTTTGGCTTATGTAAAAGTGAACCAAAGACTACTTATATCAAGCAGCAGAGATGGAGCTATAAAGGTTTGGAAGTAAAGGTCCTTCTACGATGCTAATTTATATGTACAAATTTGTATGGAACTTCAGTGGGAAAAAATAATGTACATAATTATCATAGAAAGACAGCTGAGCATTTCAGATATATTTTTTCCCAATTTCTGTACAGTGTAACAGTGGGTTATGGATGTGAAAGAAGTCAAGAACAAGTCTTTCAAATTATCAAAAGTATATTTGCCAAGTTGCTGCTACTCTATTCAGTCAGAACTGAGCTTGCTATGCGGTACTAATATGGCTTATAGTTTTGAGAATGATTTTTATGCTTTTTCTCTTGCCAGGAATAGGTTTTCTTTATTCTTTTTGTATGTTTTATTTATTTTGTGGCCTTGTTTATCATTTGAGCTGTTCCGCTACTATGTTGCACTGTGTAACAATCTTATTTCACTTGGATACTGAAATGACCTTAAAAAACTTCTGGGGATGTCAAAACAATGCATCTAAAGTTCACAGGAGGTACCCTAAACTCTACGGGTCATGCAGGCTCGGTTAGGACTTGACGTTTCCAAACTCAAACTTTTACGCAACAGATGTTCAACGGATGGGTGCCAACGAGAATTGAGCATGAGATTTGGAGAGTTTCGAACCGTTCTAAGAATTCGAACCTAATCTGAATGGAAAAATAATCATTGATCGTTTGACTTTCTCCGAATTGAACTAAACTGAAAAAATAATTTGTACAATTCTATAATTCATACAAATATCCGTCCGAGTAGCGAAACGGACAATCACATACTGTATTGAATCGAATAACTGAAATTAAGAATATGTTTAAATATCTGAACTGAACAAATTTTTGATACGGTTCTAGAAGTTGAATATTAGTGATCTCTAAATTTTGACGTTGAACCTTCGTATTAATCGTAAGCTTCTATTTTTGTTTAATTCATGAATGTCATGGCTTTGTTTAATATGAATGTTTGTGTTGAGATCGCTATGAGTAGCTAAATTCTCTAGCTAGGGTTAGGGGATTGTCATAACAGGTTTCGAAATTTGCGCCACGTTTCTTTCTTGCCAAGAAACAGATTTCTTGACAAGAAACTGGTTTCTTGCCAAGAAACTGGTTTCTTGCCAAGAAACTGGTTTCTTGCCAAGAAACTGGTTTCTTGAGCGAAAAACTGGTTTCTTGCCAAGAAACAGGTTTCTTGCCAAGAAACTGGTTTCTTGCCAAAAAAACTCGTTTCTTGAGCGAGAAACTGTTTCTTGCCAAGAAACTGGTTTCTTGCCAAGAAACTGGTTTCTTGAGCGAAAACTGGTTTCTTGCCAAGAAACAGATTTCTTGCCAAAAACTGGTTTCTTGACAAGAAACCAATTTCTTGAGCAATCCCCCAAAATTTGTGAAGGTACCTATTCATCGCCGTGGCCGCGACCAAGGAATTCTCCGTGGCCGCGACCACCCTCCGCGACCGCGGGACACATCCGAGGCCGTGATATATTTTGCGTTGAACTTGAAATTTGGGACCCAAAAAATACTCCAAAAAAAGTTAAAAAAAAAGCCCCGTTTTTTGAAAGCAAAAAAAAATCCATTTTCTTGAACTCCTCAAAATATTCAACAAAAAATCGTTCTTTTTCTTTTTTTACGAAACGATAGATAACAAAAAAATGGTTCTAGAAAAATCAATAATTTTGGGAGCTCATACACTGTTTTTAGAACAAAATAAATGTTTTCAAAA